TTCAAGGAGAGTGTCAAGCCCAAGATGGTACACATGGTGCCACCAAACTTCATCAATGGGCTTGAGGCAGCCTTTGAGGCGGTTGCCAACCCAAACCCCCGGAAGAGGAAGAACAGCTGGGATAGCCAAGAAGGAGATGGGGACGACGGTGAACGTGATGGCACCAAGGCTGCATCAGGAAGTGGGACTTCACAGGGTGTGCAGCGTGCCAAGAGGTACATCCTGGAGAAGTTGTACAAGTTCTTCGATCCAGTCCTGAAGGACTTCAATTCAGCATCCAAGATCTACTTGGAAGTGGTAAGTTAGGGGCAGGGTTGAATTATTCATATTTGAAAGACTGTCACTCAATACTCATGGGTGCTCATGCTTGATTACAGACCGAAAAGGAGATTGAGGACTTCATGGTTACGCTGGGTGGGCGAGACAGAACCGTGGCTGGCTTCCACTTGGACTCTGAAGCAACCGACCAGGACATACACGCACGTGTCCGGAAGTCCCTGGTTGAGAGATGGAACAACCGCAAGAAGTGGATTGGAAATCTACAGCAGCAGGCCAATGTGGAGGGCGAGTACTAAGAGTACTTTGGAAATTATATTTTGAAATTGTTTTGGGTTGGGGGGATTCAATGTCCTGCTACTGTGTATGCTGCAAATCCATTCTAGCCCTAATTTGTAAATGCAGAGATAAGAGGAGAGACGTAGTTATAGTTTGGGGTTATTGGATTTTCAAAACCCTAGTATTGAAACCTCAAATATGCATACCATGAAACATACATGCCTGCATACATCAAACATGCAGCTGAAGACCTTACTAACCATTACATATGTGCATGCCTTGCCAGCAGATGCTTTGAGATTCAACTCCTTTGGAGCTGACGAAGAGGAGTTTGAGAAGTACCAGTCTTCACAGTCGCACCTGGAATACTTGCAGAAGAGCTTAGGGCCTCTAAACAATGAAGATGACAAGTTCGTCTTCATTGTCGAGGGCAAGGACAGTCCTGTGCTCTTAGCTGGCGGTGTGGTCTTTGGCAGTCTTGTAAGTTAATTAGGCTTGATGTTTCTTCACAAGAATGGCCATGTTGTCATCTGCAGCCGCCTCACATCATACAATTAATGTAAGCATGTGTGGCATACATTGCACCTACAA